TACCTTTGTTTCAATCCAAGATGTACAGAAGATCGTCTGTGCAAAGCTGCTCACAGCAGCCGGACGATGCCCTGGCTTACTTATTTTTATTTTTTGGTATACTATCACTTTTCTCCTCTCTTTTCATCCTCTTAGTTGCTTACTCTGCAGATTAAAAAGTGGTTCATTTATCTGTTCTCATTCATCTTCCAAATGGAAGCAGATTACTTTTTAAAAATCAGAGTGGGCCCTCCCTGGTGGCGCAACAGGTTGAAGCACAGCATTACAAAGCTAGTTGCAGGTGCTTCAGCATAAGTTTGATCCCCGGCCAGGGAGCTGACCCACATGGCGCAGCAGACCTCTCCTGACCTGCCCGCTGCTCCCCTCAGTGTGTACTTCGTCAATCTGCCTGTTCTGCTCCCCACTCTGTCTCTGGCGAATCCTCTCACCTTCTGCATCTCTGGTCTGTACCGCAGTTCTGTATGCATAAACAAATAAATCTTTAAAAAAATTTTTTTGAGTGTAGCCTCTGCAACTTTAATATGAGAAAATCAAAGGCCAGAGATATTAATTTGCTTGAGTTCACCCTGGTATTGAGAGTTTGCTATAGGATAGAGCCAAGTTTCCTGGCTCTCAGTTTAGTTTGATGTCATGCTGATTCTTTCAAAAAGGATGTATGCAGTTTTGGGGTTAGGTAGATAGAGTCGGGGGAAGAATAGAACTCAGCACTTGGAAAAGCACTGCAGGTGGCCAGGTCAGGGATTACTGGGTCTGGGCCTGGGGAGCCGTAGTTCGCCAGGTACAAGATGAATCGAGCTCTCTGGGTACTGAGGCACTCATGCTCTTGTGAACCGTGCCAGAAAAGCCCAGGAGACAGTGTGGCTCCGTCGGAGGTTTTCTCCAGCAACACAGCACTGCAGCAAGTCAGGCAAGAGTCATACGACAGGTTTTTTGTCTGAAAGGGCCTGTGAGTCCCTTGGTTGGACATCGGGGATGGTATCGACCAGCCACTGCTGATGATGAGCTGCACAAACACTGTGGCATGTAGGAGGCAGGTGAAGTCGCTCACGAAACTGGAGCACTTGCAGTTAGAAATGAAAGCATTAGATCTGCTGCACAGGCAAAACTGGGGGTTAAGGTTTCCAGTCAACACGTTCTACAAACACAACATTTCTAAACAGTGTCAGCAACCGACTCTTATTATAGAGAGCAGCTAACAGACAGCCCGCCCTGAGTGATGATTTGTCTGTGTAACCAACTCCCAAGCAAAGGAAAAGATGAAATGCCACAAAAGAAAGAGAAGGTCTGTTTTGTTCTTCACTACAACTGTTACAGCAACACTTAAGTTGTTTTTTTTTTTTAAGATTTATTTATTTATGCATATAGAACTGGGGTACAAGCCAGAGGTACAGGGGTGGTGAGAGGATTCACCAGAGACAGAGTGGGGAGCGGAACAGGCAGACTGACGAAGCACACTGCTGAGGGGAGCAGCAGGCGGGTCAGGAGAGGTCTGCTGCGCTATGTGGTCACCTCCAGGGCAGGGGAATCGAACTGGCATCGAAGTTGTTGCAGCTAGCTTGCAGTGCTGCATCCTAACCCACTGAGCCACCAGGGAGGGCCCTAAAGGGGTGCCTTCTTAAGGAACCAGGCACAGGGTGCTGACACAACTTTCCTAAGCTTGCACTGCTCAGAGGCTCTGGTGTAAAGTCTCAGTAAGAATTAGGAACATCAGAAATGTCATTTGAATAAGACCCATCTTCCCATTCTTCCTTCCAGCCACGCATCCACCCACTGGGTGGCAAGACCTGAGCTAGACTCCACAGGCACTACTGTGAGCAAACGCAGTGCTGCCTGCTTCGGCAAGGGGAGAATCCGAATGCCAGTTCACGGTCCCTGGGATAAGCCCGCTCCCTGGGCTGCGCAGAGGTCCTGGCTTCCCTGGGGGTCCAGTGTGGTGATATCTGGGACTCATACTGAAGACCTGACCTAGACCCCACTCCTTCAGCAAGTGCAGAGATTTTAGATGTACTGAATTCCTTGCAGGGAATCGTGTTGTCCTTAAAACAATTAGAGATTCGTCACTTTCTGCATCGAGCCATTTCCCAAAGGGGTGCAAGGATGAATATTAAAGATGTACCTCCAGTGCTAGCAGAGAATATGGAGCCGTTCCAAGAGCAGACTGTGTGTGTCAGTGCGGAGGTGAGTGCACTGGGAGGGAGACTCAGCTGGCAGGAGCCCCAAGACAGGGGAGAGAGCCCAGACACTGGCCAGTGCTGGAACAGGAGCCCAGGGCCTGACCAGGGTCGCTACTTCTCTGGGCATTCCAGGGAGTGTGGACAGCTCGACTAGACTGTCCAGAATAGAGCATAGAGCTAGTGAGAAAGTGCAATTTTCCTGGTGCCATGAGCCTGAGGACCAAATTGGACGAAGGGATGGGCAGAAAATTGCCTGAAGGCCATCTTCAAAATCAGTCACATCTGGATTCGGACTCTAGTGGGGACATATGTCCTTTTTAAATAGCACACACTTTGAGTCCCAACAAATCCTCCACTATATAATGAAAATCCATGCACCACATTCATCTGTACCCAACAGATATTTACTAAGCATCCACTATGTCAAAATACCACTCTGGGCATTGAGAGATGGTGGTAAACAAGCTAGATTGCAGGCCTTATCCTCATAGGGCTCATATCTGTGATTCAAAACTTATAATTAGTAAAATATGGAAAAACCCACGAAGGTTAAAATTAGCCTAACAGCAGGCCCTCCCTGGTGGCGCAGCGGGTTAAAGCACAGCACCAAGAAGCTAAAGCCACTTCAGCATGAGTTTGATCCCCACCCCGGAGGTGACCCCCATGATGCGGCGGGTCTGGAGAAATGACTGTGCTGATATTGGAAAGATAAAGTACAAAATTTATAGCTAATACGTGTTTATGAGAACTTGGTCAACTTTGTCATCATGATGATGATAAAATTGAAAAGTTCTCATTAATGTAGTGGTTTATTTTCCTATTATCAGTGATACCAGCCCCTGGTTTCTTGACATTCTTTGTTCTAAAGTTCACCACAGATCTTCAGTTTTATCAGTTTTTCTAGAACCAACCCATCCCACAGTACTGAAAGTTGATTTTTTTATCATGACAAATCTACATGTCATAACTTATCTGAGTGATTTCATCTGTATGAAATCAGATGAAATGAGTGGCATTTTCAGGTCATTGGAAAAACAATGAGTGCCAGTTTCTCAGGTTTTTGATATTATGAAGGGTGATTTCAACACTCTCCATCGATATTTCCAGAGCCTCCATGAGAATAATGGAAATGGGGGGAAGAGGTTTTGTGTTGTCAGCAGAGACCTGGTCTGGCCCTGGCCACCTGTGTGCTCCTGGTAAGTCACTTGGTCTTCCTGGCTCTCAGGATAATGATACCTCTCTGGCTCACCTGTCAAGAGGATTAAAGAGGAGACCGATGTAGGCATACTCAAGTATCAGCTATGGCATGGATACGTGGGAGGCGGTATCTGAAGTTTGCTAGGCTGTCTCAGGTACTTAGTTCCTGTGCCCATGTCCAGCTTAAAGACTCAGCAGCCTGAAGCTGACCCCTCACTCTGCCATCATCCCCACTATTCAACTCTCCAAAAAGTCTTGGCGAACAGGGTGAATTTTACTGAAGGCTTCATGTGGAGCTGGAAGACACGATTCTGCCCCATGCCATAGCCAAACACTGACCTTTAACCTTAGAAACATCTGTTCTTCCTTGAAAGCTCATCTTTGGGCAGCAAAAACTTGAGTTCCCTGTTCAACTGCCCAGCCTAGTGACTCGAGGTTCACTTCATTCCTTAAGCTTCCTTTGGGTCTTTCTGTGACTGCCACTCTGACTTTTTATAGACCAACTATCTCTTTTTTTATATAGTTTATTTTTACATCATTTTGTGCCTTTTCCATCTCAGTTGTATTCCCCGTGGGCTTCCCATCACCAAATCACCTGTGTGCCATCACCATAGTCCAGCGCACTTCCCTCCTCCCACTGTTTTTGATCCTATTCCCCACTTTAGCCCCATAAACAACTATATAGTTGTTCATTATTATTATTCTTTTCTCCCCTGCTCCTTTATACTCGTGCTATGAGTGAAACCATCTGGTATTTTTCCTTTTCTTTCTGGCTTATTTCACTAAGCATGATCTTTTCCAGCTCCATCCATGGACCAACTTATCCCTTTAATCTTGGATTCTCACACCATCTTCAAGGGACCCCCTATCTTCCTCAGGAAGTGGTAGGGTAATTTTAAATAACAAATGCTTTTGTTATCACAATTCTTTTTTTGTTTGTTTGTTTTAAAGATTTATTTACTTATGAATACAGAACTGGGGTACAGGCCAGAGGCCCAGAGGTGGGTGGTGAGAGGACTCACCAGAGTCAGAGTGGGGAGCAGAACAGGCAGATCAACAAAGTACACACTGAGGGGAGCAGCAAGGAGACAGAAGTCTGCTGCACCATGTGGGTCACTTCCGGGACTGGGGACCGAACTCACTGAAGTGGCTGTGGCTGGCTTGCAGTGCTGCACTTTAACCTGTTGCACCACCTGGGAGGGCTTTCCTTTTTCTTAACCATAGTATTATTAGGTAGTTTTTATGATTCTAATTGTTCAAAATGCTTATGTACTGCTTATATCTAGAAACTTGGGGGATATCATCCAAGGCCACCCCTCAATCTGGCACCTATAGTAACTGGGGCCCATGTGAATGAAGGGACTTGCCTCAGGTTAAAGAACAAGTCTCAGCAGCCACCCTCACAATGATGGTGGACTCTCAATCCAGCACATCCATAGGAATTGCAGCACAGTGAACTGAGAGGCCTTTAGGTTCAGGGGAAACCAGGACTCTGACCTGGAAGGGGACTTGAAGTTCCTCTAGAACAAACCCCCCCCCCCTTTTGGAGAGGTTACAGTGGAACCTTTTCGTGTCTCTTATTCTTAAAAATACAATACAGTTAGAATGTTGCTAAAACATAGCACTTGCCTGGTGGGTATGATCTCCAGGAACATACACAGATTTAAACTGTTTCATGAGATTCCGAGCTCCAGCCATATCCCAAAGCGAAGTAAAGAGGGCATCCACAGCAATTTTGGACTTGTGAAATGTCAGGTTAATTGAAGAGTCACAACCTGAAAAAATCCAGGAGATATTTTCTTGGGTGAGTAAATCTTGAAATTACGTTTTAATCACGACAGCTTGTGCTCCATGGAACACTTCTTCTTTTTTTTAAACTCCATTTCCCCTGGCTGCTCACCAACTGTACTGTTTCAATCATCCATGAGCAATGAAACATATTGAGTATAAATGCCTTTGACAGAAGTAGAACTTGGAATTGCCCGGGATTGCAGCCACTGGCTTCAATCCCTAGGCTGCAGAAGTTTCACAGAAAGAAAGATCCCCAGGCTCTATGGTCTGCAGGACACAGCGCTGGGAAAATAGGAGACAAAAGAAAACATGAGTGTGCTGATGAACCACTTTTGCTTGAATCGCACCAACAGTCTCCATCAAATAGAAAGCAAGAATGAGAAAGATGAGAGAGGGGCTTCGATCACAGAACTTGCTGGGATGGGCATCTGTCTAATGTGCTAACAAAGCACATGGCATGTTTGAAAAGGCAGCCATTCAAAGCTGGTAACCCCCCAGAGGGCCTAATAAGTGAAGGCTGCTTTCAGCAATGATTTTGTTTCTTTGTGAAACATACAATAAGTAGATTCATTCTCAATCTTGTTAGAAGCTCACTCAGAAGAGAAATCATCATGGATAAATTCTAAGTTTAAAAAAAGAGAGGGTTAAAGATGACTATTTTGTACTCTTAAAATATTGCAGATTTATTAACTCACAGGTCCTCACCTCTCCTTAGGAGAAAGGAGCTGTTATTTCACCCATTTTTAGGAGGAGAAAATCAAGGTGCAGAGAGGCTAAGGGACACTCCTGTCAGTGCTCGGCCTCTATCCACTCAGTCATCCAGGTGTCGCCGTGGTTTTGGGGGACAGTTCTCGTATAGCCTGAAATGCCTGCATGTCTCTCTCTTTCTCTCTGCCCCTCTCTGTCTCTGTCTGTCTTCCTGCCTGCAGCCTTCTCCAGTGTGGGAGTGTGCTTGGCAGGCTGGCAGTGTTGGGGGTCAGTACTCTCAGGAACTTCCCAGCTTTCTCAACCCTCAGGGGGACAATTCTAGATGACTGACACAGTCCAGTTGTGATTCTCATGGTCTTTCCAAGGCACCTCTGCAGGACTGAGCCTTTGTTGCCCAATAGCACCCCATTTATTACTACCCCCTTGATTGGCTTTGCTTCCTGCCTGCCTCACTCCCCCACTTCCTGACTGTGCTTCCTGGGATAGCTTTCCAAATTGCTTGGCCCCACACCTGTGTCTCAGGACATCAGGGCTTCCACAGTTATTTGAACACAGCCAGCCTGGGCTCAGAGCCTAGGTTCTTCTTTCTTTTTAAAATTTTCTTACATCGTTTTTCATTTTTGTATAATACTTGATTTTTTCCATCAGGTATAATCCTCATAAATCTCCTCTCACCACAGTACTGAGAACCATCACCACAGTCCCTGTGAGAGAGCCTGGGTTCTTTGTGTACATTTAATTAGCTTTCAGTATATTCACATTGTTGTACAACCATCATCACCTCAAATTGTTGTAGAACATTTTTATCACCCCACCAAAGAAACTCTATGGTTTCTTTGTTAACTGTCACTTCCCACTTCTAGGCTGTAGCAACCTCTAATCTGCCTTATGTTACTTTTGGCTTTACTTCTGGACATTTCAGTAAGTGGAATAATAATAGAAAGTGGGACTATGGGACTGTTTCCCCCCCCCCCCACTTAGTATAATGTCTTCAAAGTATCATGTATGTTGTATCAGTGTCTCATTCTTTTTATTGTACGGACATACCAAATTGATATGCCCATTTATTGTCTGTCAGAGATTTGGAGTTGTCCCCAAATTTTGGCTATTATGAATAATGCTGCTAGTGTTACATGTACAAGTCTTTGTGTACACATACATTTTCATTTCTCTTGAATATATATCGAGGACTAGAATTGGTGAGTCCTATGGAAACCCTGTATTTAACATTTTGGGTACTGCTAGACTATTTCCCAAAGTGCTTGCACCATTTTATATTCCCCCCAGCAGTGGAGAAGTGTTCTAATTCCTTTACATCCTTAATAACACTTATCGTCTACCTTAGCTATTACCATTAGCTATTCTAATGGGTGTGCTTTGAGGAGACCCTGTGGATTTTGACAAAAAGGAAATGTTGTTAGGGAGTGGAGGTAAGCCAAACAAACTTAAACTAAAATGGAGTACGTCAAAAGTACATAGGAGCATCCAAAGGAAGCCCACTGCAGCAGAAGCAGTGAGGAGGCATGAAAGCAGCTGAATGTGCTCTTAATTACTGAGGAACACTATATGCATTAACTCTTGAAGGACAGGCACAATTCAGAACTGTCTTTACTCACTACACTTCTGATGCCTAATGTGTGGGTTTTTCCCTCTACCTTTCAGATACTCACTGAGTGCTCTATAAATCAATTCAACTCAATTCTGACACTAAATAGTTTCAGGGCCCGGCCCCACAAGGCCGCCTCACTTCAAGAGCCATTACAAGCCCCTGGGAACACTTCTGCTCCTCGCCAGGCAGCTATCAGACAAGGGTTCCCATGAGCCTCTTCCTCAGAGTGGCTCACGGAACTCAAGAAGGTACTTTACTTACTATTACCAGTTTGAGAACGCGACTCACGAACGGCCAAATGGGAGAGATGTGTAGAACGTCTCAGAAGCAGAGAGCGCATGCGCCCTCCTCATGCGCTCCATCCGCCTAATGCCTCCAGGTGTTCATCTGTGCAGAAGCTCTTTGAACCCTATTGTTTAGGGTTTTTATGAAGGCTTCATTATATATGGTTGATTAGGCACTGGCCTTGTTGATTAACTCAACCTCCAGCCCCTCTCCCCTCTCTGGAAGTTGGGGTAGGACTGAATTCCAATCCTCTCAACGAGTTTTCATTTTCTGGCAACCAGTCTCCATCCTGAAGTTCTCAGAGTCCCCCCAGCCACCAATTATGCCTTTAGCATACAACACATTTCATCAATTCAGAGATTTGCAAAGGTTTTAAGAGCTGTGTGCTAGGAAGTGAGGACAAAGATGAATATGTATTTCTTATTATTTTCATAAAGATCCTCTGGCTCGTCCTTGTTTCTAACTCATTGTCACTTAAAAAAAAAAAAAGCAAAGTGTTTTTGCCTGATGTTGAGTGGACTTTACATTAATTGGGTCCATGAACTGTGGGAGTCGGGGGAGGGAGGGCTAAATGGAAGGAATTCATGGAATTTAGCTATGCCCAACTTCACAGAATAGAGAACAGGTATCACAACTTTCTCCTGATTTTTAAAGAGGTTCAGAACCAAGAGGAGCTGAGACCCACAGCTCTATTGCTATCACACCAGGCTTGCTCCTGGCAACTCTAGTTGAGCTGTATCACCTCATGCTTTAGTCAGTCATCAACCAGAAGAAACCACTGAAAGTTATAGTTTCTTAATCATGTGGCTCCTACCCTTAAAGTCAGGCTCAGTCTTTTAGGATGGGTCAATCATCTCAAAGGCAAATATTACGTATTACATACTATGCTTTCAAAATAAAAAAAGGCATGAAAAATGACTAGTTCTAATACCATGCATAGTCTTTCAAGTGTTCCCAAAAACAACTCAGCTAATAGGCTAAAAATCTTAATTTAAAGTCATTTGTTGACATAATTTTCTTTTAAAATTTTTTTCATTGACACAATTTTCTATAGAACAGAAAGATGAACCAATTTTTCAAGTGGCTTATTTCAATCATTCTGAAAGCGAGGAAGATATTCTTTCATTACACCAAATGGAACAAATACAAATAAGCTATTGGACTAAAGATTACTGAAATTATACCTGAAACATCAATTATAACTTTTGTGTATTTGTGTGTGATTGTGCAATTGCAGAGAGTTAACTGTTAAACAGGTAGTCTGACAGAAATAGTTATAGAGTACTAGCAAATTGAACTCAAACCAACAGAAAAACAAGATCATCAAATTGTTGAAGAAAAATAAAAAGTCCTAAATTCACAAAGTAACATTTTTCTAAGAAAAAGTCAATTATATATACAGTGTTCAAATTAGTTGCACAAGGACAATTTGCAACTAAAACACTGACTTTTTCAATGTATTATCAAAGTGGTGAACATGCTTTGCAATGTACCTGTTTTTAGACCAGCAAAGGGGGATCATTTTTATCAGCCTCTAAGCATTTTTCATACTTAATATCAATCACAAAAAAGCAGGTGTGCTTTCATTTACTCTAATGAAAGTCCCCTCCTGCCCCCCCCCACACTTTAGAAATGCAGATCAGAGAGAATAAATGACTTAGGCCAGACCACACCACACCACGGTCTCCAACAAAGCTTCAAAATACCCCTCCACTCACAGGTCTGAGTTGGCCTTGTGCACAGCTGCCAGCCATCCAGAAGCTCCTCTGAGTGCAGCATGTCCCACAGCCATGTTGTGATGAAAGGGCAATGTGGATGCAGAGGCTATGAATGGGATGAATTCTGGTAATTGTAATTATACTAATAGCTATAATCATTGAGGCTTGCCTTATGCCAGGTAATGTTCTAAGAAGTTTAATTTAACTCCCTTCAAGGAACCTAGTATGTACTATTGTCATTCCCATTGCAGATGGGAAAACTGAGCCCTAGAGAAGTTCCGTCACACAGGGTTGGCCACTCGACTATGTAGAAAGGCCAAGGTTCAACCCCTTGTAGTCTGGCTCCGCTGTGGGTCCCATTAACCACTCCTCTCAGCTCTCTTCCATGTGTACCAACAGCAACGATGTCAAAGATCAATGAAACACTTAACTCACCCTTAATTTTGAAGAAATGCTTTTTAAATGGGGTAAGTGGCAAATGCCTTTCTTCTGAGAGCCCTGGGCCAATCCCTGTGATGGACACGACAGTGCTGTTTGCAGCCAGACCCCAGGCTTGGCTTTAATGTCAAACACGGTGCAGGCCTCCCAGCCTTTGCCACACACTCTCCTTTGGATCTCTGCTCCATCGGGTGCTGTATTACGGCTCATAAGCCTCTGTCAGCCT